TCTTCCATGACCACTTAGATAAGTTCGTCGTTGTCTATCTAGACGATATTCTTATCTTTAGTAAGTCTGTCGAGGAGCATGCACAACACGTTGAGACTGTACTTTCACTCCTGCGACAACACAAGTATGAGGTCAACCTAGAGAAATGTGAGTTTCGACGCACTAAGATCTTATACTTGGGTCATGAATTATCCGCGGAATGTATTAGGCCGGAAGATGCGAAGGTGGCTAGTATCAAGGACTGGCCACGACCTCAGACTGTTACTCAGGTCAGATCTTTCTTAGGAATGTGCGGCTACTATAGAAACTTCGTAAAGAACTTTTCTACAGTCGCCTCTCCTTTCACTGATCTAACTCGACTTGGGAAACCGTGGGAGTGGAGTGATGAGTGCGAAGCTGCTTTCAAACGATTGAAGCATGCACTCATGAATCATGAGGTTCTCATGATGCTCGATCCTCAGAAGCCTTTCATTGTAACTAGTGGCGCAAGCCAATACGACATTGGCGCAGTGCTGGCTTAACAGGATGGGAAGAAGTTGAGGCCGATTGAGTACATGAGCAAGAAAATGCCATCAAAGAAACTGGCAAACTCCACCTATGAAAGGGAACTCTATGCTCTCTACAAAGCACTTGTCCATTGGAGGCACTTTCTATTGGGACGGTTCTTCTATTTGAGAACTGACCATCAGACCCTCAAATGGATCAAGACTCAACCGGCTCTCTCTGATGCACTCAAGCGATGGATTGAAGTCATAGATCAATATGACTTCAAGCTAGAGTATCTGAAGGGAGAGTATAACAAGGTTGCAGATGCGCTATCACGTAGGGCAGATTACCTAGCGGCGCTAGTTTCTAAGTTTGGTGTATCTGAGGAACTAACTCAATCGCTGGTCGGAGCCTATCAGGAAGACCCTGTCACGATGGACATCATACGCAAACTTCAGGAAAAAGAAAAGACCACAGAAGACGAGTTTGTGATAGTGGACGGGCTTCTCTTTCTTGATAAGGCCGGATTTAAAAGGTTAGTTGTTCCATCTAGTGAGTGTCTGCACAGTTTATTTCTAGGAGAATGTCATGACGCAACTGGACACTTTGGCTATAAAAAGACAAGTGTCAATCTAGATGATGCAAAGAAGTATGTGGAGACCTGTCAGGGCTGTCAGCGGGACAAGCCGCGAACCCAAGCACCACTTGGGTTGCTGAAGCCCTTACCTATCCCCGCTGGTCCAGGACAGAGTGTTTCCATGGATTTCATGGACACCCTGGTGACCAGCAGGAGTGGCAAGAGGCACATCTTTGTCATCATAGACCGATTCATCAAGTATGCTAGACTAACTGCCATGCCAGAGACCGCAAGAACTGAATACGTCATCAAGTTGTTTATGGACAGCTGGGTGCGCGATTTTGGATTACCAAAGTCCATCGTCACTGACAGAGATGTCCGCTTCACAAGTGAGCTGTGGAAGAAGACTGCTGAGCAATTGGGCAGTCAACTTCAGATGACTTCCGGGAATCATCCCGAAGCAAACGGACAGGCCGACCAGATGAACAGAGTTGTACAACACCTGCTGAGGCACTACATCAAGCCCAACCAGGATGACTGGGATGAGAAGTTACCTCTCATCGCCAGCCTGTACAACAACGCTGTACACAGCAGTACCGACGTTAGTCCCAGTCAGCTACACTTGGTATGGAAGCCTAGACCAGCTCCAGACTTCCTCCTACCTGAAAACCGACCATCTGTAACTCCAGGCACACTTGAGTATGGTGTGCAGTATGCTGTCGAGCACATCAAGAAAGCTCAGCAAGCAATGATTGCTTTTGAGAACAAACATTGTCGACAGTCCTCATTTCAGGTGGGGGAACGTGTCTGGGTCAAGGTTAGTGAGCTAGGACAGGAATTCGGTATCTCTCGAAAACTAATGCCTCAATATTTTGGTCCCTGGGAAGTCCTAGATATAGTGGGGGATGAGATGGATGGTCCTACCTATGTTATCCATATCCCTGGTCACTTGCGCCCAACCATGGATGGACAAGTGGACATTGATGCCTGTTCCAAAGCCACTGGGTAGAGGAAGACCTCCCAAACCCAAGAGAGAATATCGCGTCAGATTCAGGCATCATATGGATCCAAAAGAAGATCGGTGGTTCACTAGAGAGGAACTGATTGACACAGCTCCTCAAGTGGTGGCAGAATATGAGAGGATGTTAAAAGGGAAGGCACCTGCGAAGTAAGCATCTCAGCGGACTTTCGAAGGTAAGGGGGATGGAATGTGAGGATTGAGCCCTCAAAGGAGGGCCTTGCCAACATGCATATGTTATGGGCTTAGGCCCCCAGCAAGCCTTGTGGCCGCCCTAAGGGAAGGCGGGCCAAAATATCCACAGGAGACCTTCATTCAGCATTTCACGAAGTGGGTATCAGACAGTTGCCGCACGCCAGTTGGGTGGAGTGCATCGTGAGCCTCAGACTGCTGCAAAGCAGTTGAGCCCAGGGCCTCGGTTGGTTGAGCCCTGGGCGAAGGTCTGAGAGGCCGACACATCACGCATTGGTCCCTGGCCTCAGAAAAGCAGTATTTCGTCGAGGCCGAGGAAACCAATGGGAAACCGGTACAGGGCCTGAATTTGGACAGCGGCCCTAGCACAAGGGGCGCAACTGTATTACCTGGGCCCCACCTGCATTGGGCCTGGGTACAGGTACTGGGGCCCAGTCGCAGGCTCGAGGCAGACTTCCCACACCCAACACTGGCATATAGGCAGAAGAGGCGAGTGGGCAGGGATCTTGGCCAATGCAGGCATTGTGGGCGCGCTGCTGCATTGTAGCGCTAGCACTTGCGCTGCCCAGTGGCTGAGAGAGGCAGGCTAGCGCTAAGCGGTAGAGCGCTGCCTGGGCGCAGGGCGCTGGCGCCCATAGCCGGGCTGCCTGTGGGCGCAGAGGAGGTGAAATGCGAAGGTGGTTCTTCGGAGGTGAAGGGCGCTGTGTGGGATAACAAGGGAGAGTGAGGGTGAAGAGAGAGACGTACCTGGTGGAGAGGAGGTCGGCATTGGTGTTGACGTCATCACTCTCTGGTCGTCAAGTTGTCTGGTTGCCATGCTGTAGTTGTAGTATTAGGCTGTAGAGTAGATAGGGCGCCTGGCGCCATTCAAGAGAGAGAGCTACATTGGGTTATGCTGTTGGTGTTGCCCGATTGGGCTTGGACATTGACTCACGATTCTGCTGTATCGTTCTCAAATGGATGGTTACTTGGTTCAATTGTGCTATCTGCTCTTGCTTTGACTACTTGGACTTCAGTGTGATTTTGCAATTTGGATTTCTCTGCTTCCTCCATATTCATGTTCCTTGCAGTTGTTTTTTTTTTTTTTTTTTTTTTTGGCGCTGGGGCTGCCCAAAACCCTGCCCGGGGATCATGCCCGGCCAGGCACCTGGGCACCTAGGCAGCGTGCAGTTGTCTACAAATGAGTCCAGCATCTGGTCTGGGGAACCCCTGAAGATTCAGAATGGACAATCGTTCCATTCGTGGGGAAGTCGAAAACAGAAGAGCGCTGTTATAGGCAGTCACCTTCACCGCATCGATCAGAATACCTCTTTACGATCTGAGATCCCCAACAAGGTTTTGGGACTCCAACAAGAACTGTTGAAGAAAGACTTTCCGGAGAAGTTTGTAAATCGTGTATTCCGACGCTTTGGCAGCAGGAGAGATGGCTACCGGCGTAGGACGATGGATTTGATTTGTGATTGTTAGGATTTGAACAGGGTTGTTCATTTTTTATGTTTGTTTTACCTTTGATTTGTGATTGGTAGGATTTGAACAGAGTTGTTCATTTTTGGTGTTTGCTTTACCTTTGTCCCCTTTTGGGCGGACGGGGCTCAGTTTCAGTTTTTATGCCAGCCAGTTGTCACTTGGATCAGTCTTACACCGGTTCGCTAAGGGACCGGTTTTTGAACCTTGTCCGCCCCAGAAATTTTCTGCTGTTAATGATGTAGATACAGTACCTGTGAAGTCTCCTGAAAGAGGCCCAGTACCACTGGCGTACCGGGTACCATGAGGACAGTTCCACATCCAGGGAGGCAGAGTCTGCCTGAAGTTGTTTGGACTGATTTTGTCGCTTGTCGGACTATAAGTAGGTAGACGTTTGCTGTTTTTAGCCTCTTGGGTTCCCGCGGTGCATAGTTGACCTTGGCGACGGCAGACTATCGCCCGGGCTGGTTAGCGGATTGTGGCGGTTCTTGGTTTTGTCCGCTTGGAACGTGGTAACCCTTGGTTTTCATCAGTTCCTCGTCTACCGTCACTACGGTGACACGTGTCACTTGTGTGCTCTCACTGTGTGTACCTGTGCCTTGCACTGCGTATTCTCAACGTGTTTGTAACCTGTGAACCACTATTATCATATCATACCCGGGCGTGTACCCGGCCAGAAGTTGGGTGCCCGGGCGCCCGGGAAAACAGCCTAGAGAAACGGTCTATAAATGAAAAGGAAAAAAAAAAAAAACACAAAAAAAAAACACTCACTTCACGGGACATGGATCTCAGCTGTTCTCAGTCGACATCTCAGGCTCCGAATCCTGAGAAATGTGGTTCATTACACAGTCCTCAACGACCCCTCGTCAAATATACTCCCTCGTGAACCACCATTCTTCCTTCAGGATTTGCATGCTATACGAGGCGCACTCTGCACTGCTACGTTTGTCACCCTCCCTGTCAGGGATCTGCGTAGCATGCATACTCATCTATATCGGACGACTCCATTGATTATTGATCTGCAGGGAATTTATCAGCAGCTGTGCTGCATCACAGCAAAGCTGCCCAAAAATGGGCCCAAAGGGCCCAAATAAAGAAAACAGATGAATTGAGCCAAAAAAGCAAGGACGAGAGAACAAACAATGATCATGAAATAACCAATGCAAGAGAGAAACCGAGCCGAATAAACAGTGAATGAACACGAATCAAATAAAACGATTGCTTTAGACGAAAGCCACACAACATGCACAGCACATTACGTACAGTTCTTGCAGATTCCTCAGCTCTCCCAGCTCGGGGGGAATTTCTCCTGTGATAGAGTTGTTGCCCAACCACCTGGCCATTACATAACACGTACAAATGGTGGAAGATAGTCAGCCACCATTCTACAAGACCATTTCCAAACATTGAATTTGGAAGCAGGCACTTTCCAATTTTCAAAAAGACGACCCAACGAACAGAGCGAAGTGATCGGGAAATATACTGAACAAATCCAAGTCAAACGGTCGAAGAACGTTCAAAGTACTCCAGAATCCTGGGTCTAACCTGTGGTCCTTTCGGCTCCCATGTCCTCCAAGCTTGAAACTCTCCCCTCACAAAAGAAGATAGGTTATGTTGCGTTGTCCTCCAAGCATGAAACTCTCCCCTCACGAAAGAAGATAGTTTATGTAGTGTTTTAGAAGTGAGTCACAACTGAGGATGCACTTCACACAGCTTGAACCTTTGTTTGTAGCAGGGCTCTCCTCTCCTTTCCAAATTGACTACTTCTGAGAGTTCTTAGCAGCATGTTTGGAGAACTCCTTGTAAGACTTTCAACACCACATTACTTATTCATGCGCTCCTCCTTTTATCTTTTTCACAAGACGAGAGAATTGAACTCAAGCACCAAGTTTTCATGCATTAATGTGATCTTGGTCTCAAGGACGAGAGAATTGTCCGTCATAGACTTCCATCTGAGAAGTCTGAGATTTAGCAGAGATTGTCTTAGAACTGCTTATTTTCTGAGATCCCTGGGTGTTTGTCCGCGTGCGTAGTGCCAGTCGTGATCTTGGTCTCTGTAATGACCCCCCAAAACACAGACTGAGAACACTGCTGATTTCTGGGATTTGCCGCTGGCATGTATGCCTTGATGAGATTCCCGCATTCTGCTGTGATTTCTAAGTCTGTGTCTGTGTTTGTGTGTGCCTGCTGGTCTGCGTGTCTGTCTGAGTGCTTGTCGGCCTGAGTGTGTGTGTGACGCGCAAGGGTACTTGTTGGTTGAGCGGTCGCGCAGGGCTAGTACTTACCTGTGGCCGTGACCTTGAGGGTTGCAGCGGGGAAAAACACTCAAGTGCATGGGTCCTGGGGACCAACTCACGCAGATGTGCATACATCAAACATCGTCTTCACACTCAATGGACACAGTTGCCACACACGAGACAAAGGTAGATGAGAATAGGACCAAGACCCGTCACTTATATTATCAAAAATTATGATTACA